TTAGTCGCTCATCTTGAGCAACCATAAATTCAGATTGACACTTTTGTAGTACATTTGCAAATGGCACATTAAGGAGTCCACAGATGAGCGGAGGGACTAAACCAGGAAGAGCACCAAGACCAACAACATAGAAAAGTACTCCAATGGACATAAAATGCTGCAATACAAGACTCCATGCTGCATGAAGCCACCACAGAAACTCCCCCAGTCGGTAGGCATCTACTGCAATATAATTCACAACCTCTCCATTTGAATGCCTTCTCCTTCCCACACAAGAAAGCTTCAGCGGCTTTTGATAAACAGCTACCATTAGAGCTGATCTCATCCTCATTCCTAACCTCCTCGAACTAAAGAACCAATGCCTCTGCGACAATGATTCAACTACTTTGCAAATAACTAGACATCCCAATGTAAATAGACCTTCATACTTCTTGTCCTCACTATGATTTGAATAATTTACAAAAGCATAGAGTAAAAGAGGGAGAGATACTACAGAAACTATCGTCAGGAAAGCACAGATAGCTATCAATATGTTCTCTTTGAAATACTCCTTAGCTAAGGCCCTAAGAACTAGGTTTGTTGAGTTGCTCAAACTCTTTTCTCTCACAAGGAATTCCCACGCATGAGAAACTTTTTCGTAGGCGAAGCTAGCTTCATCTTCATCAACTAAAGAAAGGATATTTCAAGAGTTAATAGTTTGGAGTAGCCCAAAGAAAACAGGGGATTAATCCAAGAAAAAGTTAATTTGCTGAAAAGCTAGCCAGCCCTATTCCAACCTGAGTTTTGTCTGCCTTTGAGACTAATAGAGGTTCAGATAGACTCTGGTCTTCATTACGTTGAGTAGCAGAACTAAGTTTGTTTCTAAATGCACAGAAGAGAAGCAAGATGTTTATTGGCCATGGCATTACGTCAAAAATTGGAATGTTATGTGTTTGTAATAGAAGTTTAATCTTAAGGGCAGTAACCAATGAAGAGAAAGGCATCCACCAGACAGAGATGAGAATTTTGATCCATTTGGATGTTCGAACAAGCAAGGAGACTTGCCACTGATATCCAAATCACTCCTCTAACAAGGTAAACCAACCACCCCAAACTATTAAATCTATTATCTTTGGCTATAATATACCACAGAGCATTGGCAAGATAGGCTATGCTAAAAAAACCAGAACAGACTGAAACGATCATAGAGATCAAGTCCTTTCTATTGCTGTCACCCATTTGACATTTTTTAACTGAAACTAAAGGCAAAAGAAGGTAGAAAAGACAAAGAAATAACATATTTGTGACATCTAAGATGGTTCTTTGAATGCAGGAAGAACCAAGAACAAGGTCTCCCCCACAAATCCAAGAGAATTTCCCTGCATATACATCAAATGAAGAACATTAGAAGCAACAAGAAATCCAACAGGAAAGATAACAAAGATACAAAATGAAAGTGAAATAACAAGGAGAAGTTGCGAAATCATGAAACATTAAGGTTTAGAATAAGAACCATCTACAATATCAGTTGGTAAGAGGAGTGAACAAAGAAGCAAAAAGAAGTATGCATAGGCGTAATTATAGGTGTTTCACGCCTTTTCCATTGCTGAATCAACATTTCTTTAAGCTCTTAATTCTTTTCTTTGTAAAGGTAAAAGATTCAAGAACATCGAGAAGAGAAAATTAATGTTCCCACCAAGACATGTATGTGTAAAAAACAACTATATGCACCCGTAGTTTTCTCACCATTCTTGTTAAAGTTCATATTGCAGCAAAACATCTGGTTAATGAGCTGCAAAAGTCATAAAGACTTACAAACGCAACTTACTAGCACGCATGCCCTTGGAAAGAAATAATGGGCAAATATGAAGAAATGAGACATACCAACTGAGCTGCCCAAGGTCACCATTGAAAAGATTTCTTTGATCATTCTGCTTTTGATTCTTTCTTGCAGCAGGCCACCCCAGTCTATATAGGAGCTCAATAGCACTTCATTGAATGAAGTGAAATCCAAGTTGCTTGTGGAAACCTTAGGAGAGCCCACCTATTTATATCACTATATATTTTTCGTGCTTAGTCATTTAGTTTCTTGGCTGCTTACCGTACTTATTAGATCTCCAAGTTTATAAAGGTAGCCAGCCGTTTGTTTGTTTGTCCTTTCTCTCTGCATGCATTAGCCATGACACAATTTGCTTTCTTGCAAATAGTAGTAGAGTATCAATATTACTGTTAATGTAGGCAATGTAGTCCTTTGTCATGTGATGACATTAAAACAGTATATGAGCTACTAATTTCATAAAAAAGATTTGGTATAAAATTCATTTATTTTTTAAGTATAACTTTAACTCAGCCATAAAAGATTCCTCAGAGCTTGCTTATTTATAAGGAATTGTTTTTATATTTATTGTTTTCTGTTGTCTTGGCTGCTTATTATATCAGTTGTGAGTATATAGATCTCTTTGTTTGAAAGGCCTTTTGTCATTTGTTTGTCTGTCTCCTTGTAATTTATGGCTGCAAATAGTTTCTTGCCATAATTTAATGCTATTACTGTGGTGTTAGCTTATTCTTTTGTCTCATGATAGCTTATTTTGTTAGTGAAAGCTATTCCTTGATACAGAGAACTCACACTTACTGAAAAAGATGTTTAGTGGCAATCCTTGAATAATCCCTATCAGGACATTTTGCATTTTCTTCAGGAAATTTCTCACGAGACTCCTTGACAAAATGAGTTAGTCATTGTAACTAAAATCAATGAGTTGGGGAACAATGTTTTCATTATAATGAATGTTTGAAACTGGAGCTAGTGGTATTCACCAGGGCCAATTAAAGAAGAATAAAAGAAACAGCAGGCATCAGAAATATGTATAATATAGCCTTCCTTTATACATATTGAAATAATTGGTATAAAGAGCATGGGTTTCTACAAATTATCATTAATGGTTTCACTATCTTTCCATAGCCTAATGATAACAGCTCATGGAAGATTTAGAAATTTTCTATTCAAGATTATATCAGTGCCTTAGTGCTGTTGCACACACATGCTTCCTCTTATTGTCATGCCAATATTTGTTCAGTTCATTGATAACTGCTAAAATTTTGATAGGAATTCCTCCTGCAACTTGACCAATATTCAGCTACTAGCTTGGAAAAGGAAGAGTTTATCTCCATAAGGTTTGAGGGCTCATCATACTCCAGCAATTTACCTGTAGGAAAAATCAATCAAATTTAATTTGCTTAAGTAGCTATATTATCAGAAGCACCGCAATAAGTTGAAAAAAATAATATGTTGCAGTAATGTGATATAACTGGGAGGCCATTGATGGACATTAGAAGTAGAATCCAAGAGCTTACCATAGGAGAGGACCATGACCATGTCACTATCTATAACAGTTGGAACTCTATGAGCTACAGTTATCACTGTGCAATTTGAGAACTCTTGTCTGATAATTCTTTGTAAAATGGCATCAGTTGCAGAGTCTATTGAAGCAGTAGCTTCATCAAGGACCAGAATTCTATTTCTCTTTAGAAGAACTCTTCCGAGGCAAAAGAGTTGTCGTTGCCCCACACTCCAATTCTCACCTTCATCACTCACTGTCAATCCAACAACAATAAGATAACATATACATCTGCTACAAATTCTCGTTGGAGTTAACTGAAAAAGCAATCTATCCAACATGCATATGGAACTATATTTCTTTTTATTTTACTCATGGTAGACATCATATGTAGATTAGCAGAAGGCATTTATCAATAATAACTCTACGTGTTTGATAGTCACTAAATTTCAACTTGCCAGATGAATCTAACTTGTTTGGCAGGGCATTGATTGTTGTCTTCAGTTGACACTTCTCCAAAGCCTGCACAAGAACAGACAATAAATAGTCAAAAAGCTCATTTGTTAAAACCTTTTGATGTCACTGTCATCAGTTGGCTCACCTTCCATATTTCATCATCTGAGTAGAGGCCTAAGGGGTCTAAGTTTGTTCGAATGCTGCCCCTAAATAGAGTTGGCTCCTGAGGAATTATGCTAAGCTTCATTCTCAGATCTTTCAGGCCCATAGAGCATATATCAAGTCCATCTATAAGAATTTTCCCACTTGCAGGCTCTACGAGGCGAAACAAGGCACTTATAAGTGTAGTTTTGCCACTTCCAGTTCGTCCAACGACTCCTACTCTGGTCCCTTCTCGGAAAGTGCAAGAGATTCCTTTGAGGACTAATGGAGCATTCGGACGATATCTTATCTAAAATAATGCATCAAAATAAATAATAGCTAAACATAATTAGTTAAGTGTGAAACCGTACAAGACATAGGTTTAGAGATGGCTTGATAATTGATTGATTCAAAGAAAATAAATTCATCATAGACTTTCAGCTGCAGTTAAGCCATTTTCCAGTTTAGGTTCCTTACCTTCAGCTCTTGCAATTCTATCCTACCCTTAGGGGGCCAAGAAGATGGTGGCCTGTTGTCTTCTATAATTGCTGGAGGTTCTGCAGGTAAGTGCATGAACTGTTTTATCCGTTCAACTGAAATTATGTAATTTGATAAGTTGCAATACCATCGAGATGCAAAAATTTGTGTTCCTGTTAGAGATAAAGCGTAAGAAAGAGAGAGTCCCACAAGCCCTGCAGATCAAAATTATAGTGACAGATTAATGCCTTTTAACAATTTGTACTTATAATTAAGATTGTTCTATAGAACTGATATTACCTGGAGTAACTTGGCTTTTAGGAAGCAGAAGAAGGAAAAATGCAGCAGTGAATAGAGTCAGGTTTTGAAGTGTCTCAATCCTGAGAACTAGCCATTCCATGGCTGCATTAGAAAGAAAGAAAAGAGTGGCATCTGTGTCAACAAGCTTTAGGTAATTTTTAAAGAACCTATCCACCATGTTAAAAGCTCTTATAGTAACCACTCCAAGTGATGTCTCAGCTGCATAATTCATAACAGGAGCTTTTGTTGTTCCATTAACTCTTATTAGTTCCCTTGCAGAGGACATATAATACCCCTGCAGTTGATGAAGAAAGATATTAGCTCATCAGCAAAAGAGATTGAGCAAATCAAACAAAAAATGGATCCACCTGAATGTAGTTTACTGCTACCATAGCAAGAATGGCGACAATGAGAACTTGCCATGTAATAAAGGCCATGATTCCAATTGTTGCTATGACTTCAGTAGCACCAGCTGCCATGAAGATAATGGCAAATGGTATGTCAAAATCGAGAATACTCATATCTGATGAAGCCTGCAAGAGTTTTGATAAAACGAGTGTCAGTATCTAGGAAAAAGACTCAGAGGATACAGCAAAAATAATGCGATTCCGTTCAGTCATCGAAAAAGTGTAATCTTACTCGGGTTAGAATCCTCCCAACAGGAGTAGAATCAAAGAAAAGCATTGGAGCTTTGAAAATGGCATTGGTGAGACCAGAGAAGAAGGCTTTAGAAGCTTTTAATCCTAGATGAGCAGCATAATATGATCTAAAATATACAAAAACAGCACTAAGTGTTGCAATCCCAGTGTAAACTCCTATCAACATGCTGCTACTCATATTAGGAATTTGAATGGCAAATGCCAACCAATAGGTCGAAGCAGCCTGAAGAATGACAAAGGTAGACTGAGTCAATATACTTAAAGATAGATGAAGAGATCCTTTTGAGACAGAAACATAATCCAGGAATGGCTTCCATCCAACATCACCAATCTCCTTTTCTTCATCTTGTGTTAATTGTACTCCAGGCGGACCCTTCACCGAGATCTCCCCCTCACTGTTCTGTTTACTTGGATAAGATCCATTAAACATCTCAGGTCGAACTACAGTAAGCCCTTGAGATTCTCCTTGACCTTCACTGTTCAACGAACCCAATACTGTTATGGCATCTCTATGAGCATTCACAAGTCGTTGAAATGATGTCCCAGCCTTTAATAGCTCTTCATAGGTTCCTGATTGAGTAATTTTTCCACCCTCCATAACCTAAGAAAAAATCAGATCATTCTTTTCACAAACTAGAAAAACATGTAGATGGACGAAGAATATATAAACATAAGTTCAAACTAGCGGTTACCAGAATTCTATCAACTTCTGGGAGAAACTCCACTTGATGAGTCACTAGGATGACAGTTTTCTTCTCTAGAGCAGTCATTACACAGTCCTGTAATCATAACAGTTAACTTGATTATGCTACAAAAAAGAAATAGATTATTGTATTATACACCAGAGTTTCATACTAATGAAGTAAGAAGCTTGAAGTTGCTTCTCACATTGAACAAAACAGCAGCTGTATGTGCATCTACAGCACTGAAAGGGTCATCAAGAAGATAGATATCAGCATCATTATAGACAGCTCTAGCAAGCTGAATCCTCTGCTTCTGCCCTCCACTCATGTTAATCCCCCTCTGACCTATTTCCGTAAGATCACCGTGGTCGAAACTATTGATATCTTTATCCAAAGCACAAGCTTTAATGGCCTTCTCATATTTGTCTGCATCCATTGGCTTTCCGTAGAGTATGTTGTCACGAATTGTCCCACTCTGGATCCAAGAAGTTTGAGAAACATAGGCAATGGATTCAAACACGTGGACCTAATTGCAAGCAAAAAAAAAAAGAACTGATATTAGTGACAACCAAAAATAATGCTTACTAATGTACTAGAATATTTGTTTTGTAACTCACAGATCCTGAAAGTTTTGGTATTTCTCCTAGCACTGCATACAAGAGTGAGGATTTTCCAGCACCAACTGGTCCACAAACAGCTATTTTCTGCCCCCTTTTTATTTCCAAGTCCACACTTCTAAGGGTTGGACTTGTTATTTCTGGATCCCAACTGAAATTTCCTGCTTGTATTTTCACACTTCTATCAGAATTCTGCAGGGGAATTTTCCTTACTTCGTCATTGTTAAGCTCATCGTCAAGCAGAAAGGTATTAATTCTATCAAAAGAAACTTTGACTTGTATAAGAATTGAAAGTGCCTCAGGTAGCATCCTAACAGGCTCTGCCATGCTTCTTAGTGTTGCAAGAACTGTAAAGATTGTTCCAGCATTCAATGGGGCGCTCCCAAATAGAACACATCCCAAGAAGACAACTGAAGAAACAATGGTTGGAGACACCCAATACAAGACAGTGCCGTAAGGCCTGAACAATTGCTGTTTAGCAAGCCATTTGAACTCATTACCACGTTGGGATTCAATCAAGCTCTTAAATTTCTCCTCCCATGATTGCAACTTGATGATCTTCATGCTATTTAAGATCTCAGAAGTTGTTCTTAGTCTCTCATCTTGGGCTACCATAAATTCAGATTGACATTTTTGCAGTAACTTTGCAAATGGCATATTAAGGAATCCACATGTGAGGAGAGGGACTAAACCAGGTATAGCACCGAGACCAACAACTGAGAAAAGTACTCCAATAGACATGAAAAGCTGCAATACAAGACTCCAAGTTGAATGAAACCACCATAGACATTCTCCCATTCTATAGGCATCTACTGCTATGTAATTCACAATCTCCCCAGCTGAATGTCTTCTCCTTCCCAAACTTGAAAGCTTCAGTTGCTTCTGATAGACTGCCACCATTAATGCTGATCTCATCCTCATTCCTGACCTCCTTGAATCAAAATACCAATGCCTCTGCGACAATGACTCAACAACCTTGGAAAGAATGAGGTATCCTAATAACACAAGACCTTCTTGTAGATTTTCCTCATCCTGGTTTGAATAATTCACAAAAGCATAGAGCAATAAAGGAAGAGCTACTACAGAAATAGTCCTAAGCAATGCACAAACTACTATTATTATATTTTCCTTGAAGTAGACTTTTGTTATGGCCCTAAGAACCAAGTTTCTCCTATCACTTGAGCTCGTCTCTCTCACAAGGGATTCCCATGCATTAGCAAACTTTTGGTAGGCCAAATTGGATTCATCTTCTGTAGGAATTGAAGGGATGTCTTCAAGAGCTAATGGTCTCACATAACCCAAAGAAAGCAGGGGATTAATCCAAGAAAATGCCAATTTGCTAAGAAAACTGGCCTGACAAAGTTCTGTTTGGTTTTTTTCTTCCTTTTCCTCTAATAGAGATTCTGATAAACTCTCATCTTCATCACGTTTCCTAATCAATTGTATGACGTTTCTAACAGCACAAAATAGCAGCAAGATGTTCACAAGCCATGGAAAGATGTCAACAATTTCAATGCTGTGTGGTCCAAACAGAACCTCAATATGTAGAGCGGAAACCAGTAAAGAGAATGACACCCACCAAGCGTTGATGAGAAATCTCATCCATTGTGATTTTTGAACAAGCAAGGAAACCGCCAAAGAAATCCAAATTAATCCTCTAACAAGCTCAACCAACCAGCTCAAGTTATTAAATCCATCATTTTTTGCTATTAGATTCCACAAACCAACACCAAGATACAGAATGCTAGCAAGAGCACAACAGATAGAAACAACAAGGGAGATCCAGTCCCTTATGTTAACTACACTGCTTTGATGTTTTTTGACAGAACCTCCAAGCAAAAGTAGATAGAAAACAAAGAGGAATAGCAGATTTATGACATCTATGATGGTTCTTTGAAAGCAAAAAGAACCAAAATCAAGTTTTCCTTCACAAACAAAAGCGAATCCCCCTGCATATCCATCAAAAGATGCAGAATTACTTAGCAAATTTTTGTAGGAACAAAGAAATGAGACGAAAGTAGCAGGAAGAAATTTAAAAGGCTCTGGACATAAACAATAGGAAGAGAACTTGCAACAGGAAGACTTGATATTGGTGATTTATATATTGTCTCCATTACAACAGAAAAGAATGGTCCATGAACTGTTATAAAGACGCAACACAGATAAATGTATACATAGAGACTTAAAAGTCTAAAACCCTGTCTTCAACTACAAGAAAGTGTAGATAAATGTATACATAGAGACGTAAAGAACAAGAACAATATCCAGTGATGGATTCTTTCTTTGTCAATTGCACATCAAACTAAAGAGTGTAAGGAAATAGTAATCAAGATCGTGTAAAAAGCCAATACATGTTCATGTAAGATCAAGAAGAAGCAGAATGCTCAAAATCCAATATGCATCTTGTAACAGACACACACATGCAGTTTTAAGGTCAAATAATTAATTGAAAAGATATTCGGAAATGAGCAAATGGCGTGTACCAATTAAGGTCGTCAAGGAAGCCATGGTCAGGAGATTATTTTCTTCCAAGCTGTTGTTTGCCTTTTAATGACACCAGAGTTCAGACTCTAAGCTTTGGAAAAAGGACTTCATCAACCCTGATGTCATTCACTTCAGCTGATACTTAGAAGATGCCATCAAAGAACCACCTCAGCCTCTACAGATTCATAACATTTTATTTTGGCATTTGTTTGATTGGTTTTTTGTCTGCTTCCGCTTAGTAGGCGGCCAAGAAGTGGGAAAAGGTGTGGGCTATTGTTTGTCTCAATGTCAGATGCTCGTTCACAAACTTTCCTCTTCTTGTTCATATATTCATAAATTCAGTGTCTTCATCAGTCCTTGACCCTACAGCACTTGTCAAAACATTGACTAGAGACAACTAGAGAGCCATCTTTCTTAGTCGGTGACAAATACTAGAAAAATTTGTTTGCTCAAAATTTCCTACTGGGCTGCAATTCACCTCAATCAACAGCCAATTTTATATAGAATGCACAAGCTGAGAAATAAACAAGTAGGAAATTTTCTAGCATCTCTTTACGTGTCAAAGTTGTTATTCTCGATGAGTAATCCTTCCTGTAACTGACAAACATTTGGTTCCTAATCACAAATTCTTTTGCACCAATGTCACATAAGGCTCATTTTCAATTTCCTTGTCTAGCAAATCGGACCACCTTAGTACATGAAATAACCATTCATGAAGAGAAAAAAAAAAAAACGAGAGACAGGACCAGTAAAGTAACATTTGTGTGCGATTTTGCTGTCATGGTCACAATCTTTCAGCATAAAGGATTATATCAGGGCATCAATCTCCTCTTCCTTATGTTTCCACATCCTTAGGTTTCCATATTTTATCATCTTTTCAATGGGAAAAGATCATTGAATTCATGACTACCCTTTTGTTATTTTTCTCATTTGCAGTAGAAACAAAAACAAATAATAACAATAATTGTTACAACAGCTTCACAGGATAGGTCATAGGGCATAAAGCCTGAAAAAATGCTACGTAGACAAACAGAAAAAGTTGAGCTCTTCTTTGAAATCAATTTGAGTCCAAACATTGCCATGATTTTAAACCAGAGGAATCTATTACAATACTTGTATAGATGCCAGAGGAACTATTAAACAATTGATTATGTGTACATCAACTTCTTTGCAAGCACAGACGGTAAGGTGGAACATGGCTTATTCTTTCCATGGTCATTAAAGAAAGGAAATTTGTTAATGGAAAAAGAGTGGGATCTTATCCCTGTCATGTTCACTGCCAATTCAAGCTCATATCAAACACGTATTTCCAATTAAACTTGAATATTGTTTCTCTATCAGGATCAGGTAAAATACGTACCAACAGAGAAATTCTCATATGTAAATTAAAATGAAAGTCTGAGGACATGATCTCTGCATCAAAGATACGAACTACATTATGGAATCAATATGGTACTTGATACTGTTAAATTTAATTTACCAGAAAGTTACCTTGAATCAACAGCTCTAATTACCACTAAAAGTCAAAAAAAAAAGAAAAAGCACCTATAATGCAGTATATGTTTACCTTCAATGTCGTTATTGAACATATTCCTTTTAATTTATATCATCTAGGACAAAGTGATTAGACTCTTAAAAAGTAATTATCATAGGTTTAAGTACATATCTTCCTACTACGTTTATATTTAACTACAAACCCAATATAATATTAAACCTATCTCGGAGGCTTGAGGAGTCGTATCATAACAAACCATTACAGCTCAATGAATAATCATTTCCCACTTGCTTTTTATTTATGAAATTTGGAGTGGTTTTTTGTGGTTTGAAAATTATTGTCAACAATCATTACGCCGAATTACAGTGACAGAAATGATAAATATCGTGCGCTATGACCTCACATCTGCACATTTTTTCTTTTCCACAACCACATTGTGAAGGTACAAAGATATGTATTAAGTCTTTATCTGTCAAATGCGACGGACCTTGGTTCAAGCAACAAAATTATGATTTCTGAAGAATATGTGGTTAGATTTTTAACAGCATTTGTCTAATACTAGAGTGTAATTATGCGTTCATGATATAATCATCGATGAATAAAATATTAAATTAATTTATATTAATAATAAAAATAATTATTTAAAAATAAATAATAAAATAATGTGTCATTTACAAACATGAAATTATATTTGTAATTTGTAAAGATAAATGTTTAAAAATCAATAGATATTTTGATGACTATTTATTGAGTTAACTTAAAAACTACTATTATACTGAAAACATAAATCAAAATTCATAAGTAGTGTTATTTCTCTCATTAAAATCGAAATAAATTGAAAAATTATATATATATATATAAATTAGTTATATGTGAAAGTTTAAAGTGAAAATAAAAATAACAAATATAGTAAAAAAATTAGAGATTTAGTTCAAATGATAAATAAATTGAGAAAATATAAAAAACGAAGAAAATGAGGAAGAAATGGATGAAGAGAAAAACTAAAGCTGAAAAATTAGAGAAGAAAGGGACAAATAATGTTAGAAAGAGAAACTCAAAAAAAATCTTGTAAAATTAAGATAATACTAATAAATTGCATTCTTGAAAATTAATCCAAAAACCACATCAATTTCTAAAATATAAAAATTCATGCTTAAAAAAACCATGGGTAGTTCATATTTACTTATATGAGAATTTTTTTTAAAAAAAAGTTAAAATTGTAAATGTAATCAGTAAAGAAATTAAACATTAAAAAGAATAAAAAGAATATGGTTTCAATAATATACAATTATAAAGTGAATGGTGGACTAATATTATACTTTGTAAAAATACACTTATCTATGATTTTTTTGAATATTCAGAAAGTAATTACAAAAAAAGGATCAAATGAGTTGAAAGGTAAACATATAGCAAAATAATAATGACAAATATGTAAATTAAGGATTATATTTCCAGTAAAGGATATATTTTTACTTAAAAGATAATTAAAAATAAGCTTATATAATGTATATGAGATAAGATTAGTAATAGGTAAAAGAAGTCTATAATTAATACAACTTGAGTAAAAGTACAAGTAGATTATTGTCTACGATAGAAAAGTATAATTATATATGCACCTAATCATATAAGATAAAAACAAAAAAAAAGAATTTAAAAACTTAGACGAAAATTTTCTAGTTTCTGTATAAAAGCACGAACATTATAAGAATAAAAATAATAAAAAAAACCCATATAATAAAAGCTTGAATAAATAAAAAATTATAAAATTAAGAAATAAAATAAGAATAATATATAAAATACCTTTGAAACAATTGCAATTGAAAGTTATCTTAAACCTGTAAAAACCAAGATTAAACAACAAAATAAAACAACACTAATCAATTGCATTCCAAGAAATTAATCCTAAAACCATATCAACTTAAAAAACAAAAAAATTCATGTATAAAAAAATTAAGAACAGTAG